CTCAATATTTGCCTAACAGAAGAACTATTTAACCTTTCTGACAACTTTTTATCTTTTGTCCTTTCTCTCCTTTCACCAAATTTGGGTCTATAATCCTTTGAGTCACAACTCCAGCTTTATTTAGTAATTCTTCCTCATTCACACATCTCCAAGTACATGAAAATATTTCATTTCCACTCAAAACTAAAATATGAATAAAGGTTTATGGCTTTGTGAAACTTCTTTTCTGAGTTTATGCCGTTGAAATAAATAAATAATAAAAAATTAAAACATTTGTCGGTTTTGTTTACACCTTTATTGGGCCGCATTGGAACTTGCCTTGGGCCGCATGCGGCCCGCGGGCCGCGGGTTGGACACCCCTGAACTAGAGCTTTCTGTACAATTTACAGTGCCTCTCAAACCCAAGAAAGTTTAAATTAAAATTAAACAAAAAATATCTCACAAAAAATTAATAATTAGGTATATTGTTGCTTACACTTATCTGTTTTCTTTCAATGTCCCTTTAGCCCTTTTAAATATCTATAAACACAATATTTTCTACATAAAAATTTCTAGTATGATTTTTTCATTTACCGAATTACCGGTAAATTTTTGAAATTTACCGGTAAGTTTACCGAATGTTTTTTTGTCAATTTATCGGTTAACCGGTAAATCGGTAAACCGGTATACAATCCCTACCGAGGACCAAGGCTAACGCCAAATTTGTACTGCATTGAATAGACTAGTGACTAGTGTAATGTTATTTGTTTAATTATTGTACAATATAACAAATAAAATATCCAATTATTCTTAATATAATGTTTTACTATATCGCCCAGAAAATTGTTTTTTGCCCCCAAAATATAAATTGTTACTAATTGCCCCCTCCACATGGAAAAACGCCCACACGGGAGCGATATCACCTTCGTTGAGAAACACTGACCTAGACTAATACAGTTGAACTCCATTTATACATTTCTCAGTTGTACGTTTTTTGCAGTTATATATTAAATATTTTCTGCACTGTACTTTCTCCAATATAAGATACTTCAGTTTTATATTGTTCATTTATATGATTTCACCCTCATGTTTTATTTTTTGGTATCCTACAGCACTTAGTTTTCACTTATTCGTTATTCACTTTAAAGTGGAAAAATTTTAAGTGATTATTAAAAAAGGGAAAAAGTGAATATTCACTTCAGATTAGTTCAAATTGCCAGCAAATGTCAATAGCAAACCAAATAATACATGATCTGATGCAATTTTTGACAAAATTTCCATTTAGCAAATTAATTTTAAAGCCAAACATATGCTGGATTTTGTATATCAAGTTTGTACAGGAAATGAGCAATTATTTATTGTGACATCGTCACAATGCCTGGCTGCAATTTTTAATCATATTTTTAATTTATTTAATTTAAAATATATGCTCTCCACCTCAAATTAGTACTGTAGTGTCTTGCCCCTATACGTCGTACTTTTCCTTTAGCAATAGAATTGTGCCGATAATCTATTAACTGCTTTCAGGGGTTTTGAAATTGAAATAATATGACTTCTGGTTTGCATCGGAAGTTTTTATGTAGTTAATCGGGGCCTCTTGCCCCTAAGGTTTCCATTTTTGTTCTCGGATTTCATCTATCTAACTGCTGGGTTCCCCTTGTAAGTGGCAGTTTCAGCCGTCTTTATTTAAGTTGTTTAACATCGAATGTTAAGATCAATGTGAAAATTTGTGTTTTATATTTTTAAATTTTTATATCATGCATTTTTTTCTATTAGATCTTCCTGGTACCATGTGAAGTAATGTTTAATGTTTTCTTAGCTTTCTCTGATTTTATGTTATAGTTTTTGTGTTTTTATTGTATATATTCAGACATGTAATTGGAATTTCCTGTAGGTTGGTTTAGTAAAATAAATAAAACATATGATCGACATTTTTTAATATAAAACATATATATTTTATATTACACAGAAACACACAAGATTATCAGCACAAAAACCTTTCTCACTAATTTCTAGCCTTATTTAAAGGCTAGAAATTAGTGAGAAAGGTTTTTGTGCTGATAATCTTAGAAATAGTTCTAGCTACATATGCATAGTAGTGTAAACACACACAAACTGTTATTCATTCATATATAAAAAAAAATGATTATAACCAATTATAACACATTTTTAGATTTATTATTATTTTCTGACATACATTTACCATGCAATGAGCTATATTTTTAGAATTGTGTGTTATCTTATATCAGCAATTTTTAGTTGGTGTTCCACAGCATAATGGCTGAGAATCACTACTTTAATTGAATAAAAGAATAATTTTGAAGTGTTATATGTTTCTAAAATTGTATCCCAATATAATTAATATATTTTGTAATAAAAATCTAATTGTATTTATTGATTTAAGAGGAGAAGATAGATTTGATCATAATTTAAACAAATGGGGAAACTAAAGTCTGAAACAATATTTCTCAATCATATTTTAGAGTATCTTCTTGATGATAGCTATTTCTAAATTATATTTATATTTAAATTAGAAACAATATTATTACTTAAATATACTTCATTAAAAGCAATTTTATACTAATTATTTAAAATAATTGTATAATATAGTTTCCATTATAAGTGAAATTTATTATACAGAATAAAAAGTATACATTTATATATTTTTTCCTTATATATATAATTAGTAGCATAGCCAGTAGAAACTATGGAATTCAGACCCCACCTTTAGATATTCAAAACTTATTTTAGCTTATTTTACAGATAACAAAATAAAGAAATAATTATATTTGTACTGTACATTGTAATTGTTTATTGACATACAGAGAAAGAGAGGCCTATTATAAAAAAGAAAATTAATACACTTGCTTATATCAGTGTAGAACTATATGTATCTGAGCCATCTCAAAGGGAAGACTCAAATACTAAACTGCTTGCTTAAGTAAATTAAAAAAAAAAACAATTTCTCTCAGAAACACTGCGAAGGATAATTAACACATGAGAACCTTATTATATACCAGTAGTGATAAAAATTAAATAAAACTAACGTTTTCAACCATATTCATGGTCTTCCTCAGGCTCTTGACCAGTACAATGTATTAAACTGTATTAACACAAAGGATGCAGCTAATGTTTCTTACGCGTGGAGGTGGTGCTATGAGAAAAAAACGAGAGCAACATTAGGTGCTTATTCCACACTATTAAATACATCTTATTATTTATTTGTTGTGATGTAAAGATATTTTTATCACTATAGTAGCACATTTGGCTAAAATATTATCTTCTAGTTTTAAATTTTTCGGAATTAATATAATTTATAAATTTCGGAATTAAGATAATTTAAACATATTGTTTGATGCATTCCATATTCAAATTGTACTGGTCAAAAGCCTGCAGAAGACAATGAATATGGTCGAAAACATTAGTTTTATTTAATTTTTATCATTACTGGGACATAATAAGGTTCTCGTGTGTTAATTTAGTAAATTCTGGCTATACTACTGCTTAATGTATATTTGCTCAAACTTTAATATAAACATTATTTAAAAAAAATCACTTTATCATTTATTAACTATTAAAATTGCTTAAAGAATCAATTCAGTATCATTTAAAATATGTAAACATTCTTGATATTTTAAAAATGTAGACAATAATTATAAATTCCATTTTTTAAACAGAAAAAAATGAATTTAGTTTAAATATTTTGTCATATTTTACATTTATTATTCATTCAGTGTTAGCTTTTTTANTTATCGTAAATGTAGCCTGAAAATCCATCAGTTTGGATTTACAAAAGATAAATTCAGAAACAAACAACATTAAAAAATTCTCAAGGAATTGGAAAATTTATAATTCATTAACATTTTTGTGGTAAATTTAATTGAATTTAATGTTTGATGCATTAGCATTTCTTAAACTTCACCCACTGTTGGCCCACCAGTGGCCAAGCGGTTCCATTTCCTGAACACTGGGAGTTTGGTCATGGGTTCGCACTTAGCCAGGATGGGCCAGCCACATGGAGTTTTCTGGGTTTTCTCCACGTCTGTAACACCTGAATAGGGTCCAGTTATCCTTAAAAAAACCTTCTGGAAGGAATCTCCCCTAGGCAGATCATCCAAGTGTTGCATTACCATAACTCAATAAATAACTTAATAAAACAATCACTCACTGTTAAAGGTGCATTGATTAATTTAATATAATAGAGTCAATGGACAAAGAATTATCAAAATCAACCTTAATGAACCAAATTATAGTCAAAAGCTGTTGGGATTTCACTCTCATTAATTTTAATTTAATAGAAAAAAATTAACCTAGAAAAATCTATAAGTTTTTTCTTTAAAGAATGTCTATTGTTCATTTTTTTGTGATAATGAAATATAGTAAACTTATCATAGAATAAATATTTCATTTATAGAACTAACAAATAGGAAAAGTTAGCTATATATATAATTCATATAACTATGGGAGAATTAATTACTACAAAGTCCAATTCAGTTTGTTTACAGAACAATTATATTTTATTCTATAAATAAATTGCATTTGGCTTTCAGCTTGGAGTTTGATAATGTTATGTATAAAATACTATTTGTTAATTCTTATATGACTCTTTAGTAAAATATTAAAAAAAAAGACAAGTTTCAGTTTCTTGAATCGAGTTCTTTCTGTGAATTATTTATTTTTTAAAAAGTGTTCTAGTACAAGTAACTGGAAAATAAGTTCCTGAAAACATTCTTCCATTTTTGTGAAAGGACTTACTTATGGAGTTGTTTCTTTATTTTTTATATAAGATTCTGTTTAATTTTTCTAGAATAATAATAAATTTTATACCACTAAAATATTCGATAATTAAAATGCCATTTATTATTAAATATATAATGAATGTTTCGTATATTTAGATACATTCATCATACCGTATCTGCCGATCAAATACGTATGCAGATAAATCCGGGAAACAATCCTATGCCACGAAATCTATCTCATGCTACATTAACTATAGAAAGCAGAAATCAGGAAACAAATAGAAAAGAAATAAAACGATATCGGTGCAATTATGAAGGTTGTTCGCGATCCTACAGTACTGCTGGAAATTTAAAAACTCATCAGAAAACACATACAGGTGAGATCATGTATTACAGTAATTTTGATTCTTTTATTTTATTTTAATTAATCTGATAAAGATGGTTTAGGATGTTGTATTTCATAATTTTCTATTCTAAGTTGTGTAATATATAAAACTATTTGCATATGATTATACTTTTTGTAAATTAAAATCTTTTACATGTATTAAACTTAATAATAATAAACAATTTAAAATAAAATATAATATCACCTAGACCAGTGTTTCTCAACCTCTAACGAATCGTCGCCCCCTTCAACGTAGTATCACTCCTTCAATAAAACCATTACGTAGTATCGCCCCCTTCAATAAAACTGTTACGTAGTATCACCCCCTTCAATAAAACTGTTACGTAATATTGCCCCCTTCACTTCAAAATTCCAATGCCGAGGACTAGGGATTGTAAATTTACCGACTTTTTCATTTACCGGTAATTCGGTAAATAAAAATTAAAATACCGGTTTACCGGTAAATTACCGGTAAATTTTTTTCCTGAAAAATAAAATTAAGGTGATAAAAAATATAAGTAATTTTGATTTCCATTTCACATTTTCTATTTCAAAGGTATAGAATATAAAAAATATAAAAATTAAAGTGTTATTCTAAACAAACTATAATAATAACTTTTAGAAACATAAATAAAATAATACAGAAAAATAAAAATAAAACAGAAATAATATATAGTACCTAATACCATTTT